TGAAACAAGCGTTCACTCGAGTAAACGCTACACCGAGCTTCGCTTCAAACGCACGCTTCAACTGCGTCAACGCTGTGTGAACTGCTGCTGCTTCGCATCCTATTAGGTTCCCTTAGAGGGGATGATTAATAGTTTTTAAATCATTCCTTAGTCGGGCTAAGTCAGGCGTTCATCAGGATTCATCCACCGCCTTCTCCAATAGCAACAACTGCGGGTGCGTGCGCTTATCTTCCCCCCTAGAAACCGGAGTACGTAGTCCGAGATAGTGCAGGAGAGGGTAGGTGCAATGCTTCGGCGCTTTTTTGCTCGCCATTCACTCTCTCTTCTACCTTAGCCCCACCTTCCAGCGGGGCAAAAGCAAAAGGTTCAAAACGAGTGCGCATGTGCATATGGTTCCAGTTGGATTCTTGCCGCGACGAAAGACGAGATGGTATCCTAAGGTCCCTAGACTAGGGACCTTATCGTATCCAAGACATCAGCTGTAGAAGAGGAGCGTTCCATTTGGCGCGAAGTCGCTCGGCCAAGCATGCTTCGCAGTGGATCTTGAGTACGTTAAGTACTTGCCAATTTTTGAACAATGCCGGGTTGTTGTGCTGTAGGCTGCAGCAACAAAACAGAAGATGGTTTCTCGCTCTACAACATACCTCGTGGCATCCGGAATAGTGCACGCCGTGAAGTGTGGCTACAAAACATTTCACGCGAGGACTTCCGTGCAACGCCGTCGACGCGGCTTTGCGAGGTGAGTTGATTTATCGGCTTTTGTTGAAACGCTACACAACGCGCGTCTAACGCACGTCTAGTACGTGACCTTCGTTACAAATATTTGTGCGTATGCATGTACGGTTTATTACAGCTTAAATGACTGCACTTTCAGGAGCATTTCACGCCAGACCAGTTTGAGCCACTTGCTCTCTGAACGCGGCGTAAAGAAGCTCAGACGCGACGCTGTGCCAACGCTTTTTAAGCCTTCCGAAGGCGCACGAAAAGACCTCTGCTTTCAGGTATGTCAGTGCGCTGTTTGTATTACTCGTGCTGCATTATCTGAATAATCGCACTGCTCGATATCTTGTAGGAGCATTACACGTTTAGTTTTTAGGTAGACAAACAAACATAGCAACTTGAACATAGCTACTGAAAGAGATTGTCGGGCTGTACGCGACCGATATTTGGTTCCTGCCGTAAGCACGGGATGACTACACTGAAAGGCGCAGTGGAGTAAAAATGCATCACAGCTGATCTCGCTTTCACGCGATGCTGCAAGATTGCTAGTTTGCACTGCCAGCATACCATCCGAACCCCCCCCCCCCTACCCCCACTTTATTTGTGAGTGGTAACGCCGGCACAGGAACGTTTTGTCTTCACGTTTGAAATAAAGAACATTCTGCATTCGCAAGAAATTGATAGACTGTGAAAAAAATCAAAATGTACGGAGAGAGAGAAAATTCAGTTTTAACGTTATTTATGTCATCAATACGTTACAAGGAATCACTTGCAAGAGCTACTCACTTTGTTCGAAATAACCTGGTGTATTTCTTACGGACTCGCATGCATTAATGAGGGAAAAGTCGCATGCTTTATGCGTTACGCATAATTTTACAATATAACTTTCTTGGGCTGCAGCAAAGGGACTCATTAAAGATGTACGCACGTATGAAGCACACCGCATGATCAGTTGCGCTAATGTTGTCATGTGTAAGTGACGACAGGGGTTAGCGACCGCATCGAAGCTTTGTGAGCCGCTGAGACCACTGCGGTGCTTGGGGCACCTGGCCCTCCGTGTTGGTTGTTTCGTGCATTGCCCGTTGGGGCCATCGAGTAATTGAGTGCTTCGGACATCCCCTAATAGAAAACTGATTGTCTTAAGCTAAAGCCACCATTGCTGAAATCACGCATTACGGATTCGGAGTTTCGAAATGACAGCCGCTTGGCAGCAAACAGCATTTAAGGGTTGTGCGCTCCTTGCTACTGCAAACAGTTGAAAATGCCGTCGTTTCTCCTCTGTGTCTCTCTTTTTGTTGGTCGGTTTATATTGCTTCATTTCACCAGGTTAGAAATGCATTTTGGTGCACAAATAAAACACATGTACGCATTGTTGCATGCAATCCACGCGGTAGCAGTTGGAGGCCATGCAACAAAATCCAATGCTTTGTTTTCCTTTTGTGCATGTTTAAATCTTGCAGCAATATTACGTGCACCGTTGCATGAACTTCAACTGCCCTGCCTTAATTTGCACAGCTGAACATGGTCTCTGGTTTGTGAAATCGATGCGCCCTTTTCGATATTTGTAGCGACAAATGTTACGTGCACACAGTAAAAAGGAATGTGTCCATTGATTGTGATTACGTGTACATGAAAGCACACGCGTAAGACTCGAAGCAACGTTGTGTCTCACGTATTCATCAGGCATCCCATCAGTGTGGCATACACGCTAGTTTTGTGTTCAGATGCCGGAGTTGAGGAACTGTGTGACAATAAACATTGAAACACTAATACAATGAGTGCAGTGAATTTGCTAGGTTGGCGTATAAGGAGACTTCAAAGTTTGTTAACAAAGCGTCGACTTCTTTGGAGCGGTTTAAGTGAAAGCAGCTGCTAGAATGGTTGAATAAAACGGCATTTCAATCAATTGTACTACCCTTGTCTCGTTTGATTTTATAGAGTCTGCTCATTTATGAACGACATTTTCAGGAAATGTAATGAACATTGACAGCAGCTCAATAGGACATGACCATTGCTACTTTCACGGATCTCATAAGAGTGATACTCAAGGTACGATTGCGGTGACATTCATGGTGTAGACGTGGAAGTAATGCTTGTAATTAACCAAGATGGGTGGCTTCTATCTTGTAGAAATGTCCCCAGAGGATACGCCCCACCTTTCAATTGAAGCAGAAGTGGTTGGCCAAGGTACTCTGGACATTGTGCAACAGAGTTCTGCGTGCAGTATACCAAGTAAGCAGGTGTATGTTTATTGCATCATGCACGTAACTATTTTTTTTCTTTCAGTGGAGAAAACAATTTTTGAAGTTTAGTCCCACCATTGCACAATTTTACTACGGGGCTATAGAAACCAACTCAATTTGCTGCATAAAAAAAGAGTTGTGTACTCGCACTACATGGTTTTAAGTTTTTTTATTAGCACTTTATTTTGTATGTTCGTAAATGCATCATCCTAGTGGAAGTATCTCCTCATGACCATGAAATCGGCTTGCGTAGTTCCACAACGAAAAAGAAAAAAAATACTGCAGTGATTGTGCGCATGCAGAGCTGGGCCACTTGGAGTTCGTTGCTACACACATAATGGTTGTAAACAAAGAATACTGAAAAAGGTAGACCTGCTTAAACTGTATCGGCTGCTAGTACTTTATTGTAATTTCACTGTACAGCTAAGCTGACGCACCGTTGTCTTTTGAAGCAGACCTAAGTTATGCAACTTACTCGCATTTATGATACCATGTGATGCACTTGCAGTGCTATTTAAGGAAGCGCATTCACACTGCATGTGCTTAGGTGAAGCGTCAGGTATTTTGAACCTTCCCATTACTTGAAACTCGTAACGCTGCAGTTTATGCACAGGGAATTTGTTTACGTTTTGTTGCGAAAATAAAATTTATTCATTCCCGTGATTGTTTTTAGCTATCACTGTCCATATGAAGCTACAGATGTATGCACGCTTCACGAATTCCATGACGGCGTGGAACTGAATGGAAGAGCTTTTTTAAAAAAATGGCTTGAAGCTTGCACTAATCTACGCAATGTCGATACACAGCTAAGCTGATCGGCGCCATGCTTATTTATTGCTGTATAAAGACACAGCATTTGCTCTAAGGGTGCTTGAATTTCGCTGCAGCGATGTTGAACTTTTGCTCGAACTTGGCTTGGTGGACCCCAGTATATAACTCTTTCGTGTTAAAAAAGCAATAATATGTATTGTTAAGCTGCGAACTCGCTCCAGGGGTCTGAAACATGCTGACTGCAGCCTGCAGAGGACTGTCTTCGTCCCGTATTTCTTTTTTTTTCATTTTCCTAATAAGTGTAATAATGAGCTCCAAAGACATGGCCAGCCTCAAGCATTCTTTTCGTGATGCAGTCCATTAGGCCATCACACGTTGAAACATGGTCGTGGAACGAAAACTCTTCATTCAAGAATTGGCGTCGATTTCAGTCATTACGAAGATAGGTATCGTTATTTCTCGAACCCTGACTCTAAATACCCTTCGTAAATTAGACACATATGTGATATGGAGAAACCGTTCTTTCAAAAGGCAACTATAGCTGTCATATTGTTCAAACGAACCCACCGATCCCCTCGCCCACTAGTTCACACTGTGCCTGCCCTTGCAGTACTCAATTTAGTGTCTTCAGCTCGCTGGCTGAGGTGAGTTTGAGACTCCTGCTTTACACAAACGCCTTTCCTTAATACGTAGACTAAACTTGGTATTGCAACGAGATGCAATACTCTCGCCATAAATTATTTTCGTAAACAACACTCCAACGATACTCTCCAAAATTCGGAAGCATTCCCACGCGATAAAAAAAAGAGATTTCCACCAAGAGATCTAGCAGCAGACTGTTTTCAGTTCAACAGATCTGTACTATTTTTTAAATACATTTGAGATGGTAGCTGAAATGACTTGGACGTTTCACGTAGAATAACCCAGATGTCATTGTTTTTTACTTAAGTATACATCCTTTACTTGCAGGTACAGGCTCACATGCAGCTCTGTTGGCCAAAATAAACGCTCTGGAACGACAGCTGACTATTGCGAAGGCTAAGGCGAGGGTGAAAGAGCGGGAGCACAAGAAACTTATGCTTCACCTGTCTTCGTACATAAATGAAGACCAGTTCACTAGCTTGCATCGTTCACCAAGAGGCACAGTGTGGTCCAAGGAAACATTGACCAAAGCACTGAAGATTCGCCTATCCTGCGGCTCGAGGGGCTATGATATGGTCAAGGAGCTCGGCCAGCCATTGCCTTCACATCGTGTACTTCAACGCCACATCGAGCACTGCAAGTTTCGTCCAGGGCTGCTGGTGGACATTATGGACTCTCTCGCTGTTAAGGTAATCGTAACGAATTTGTCCATTTTGCAGCACCATGGAAGTTCCGATATTTTAAATTTTTGTTTGTATTTTCTGTACTTATGCTGGCATGCCTCATAATACAATCACGGTGTTCCCGAAAAATGGTTAGCACTTCATGGTTGCCTGAATGGAAGTTAGATAGCATAGAGTTCTCATTTTAGCTGCAACCCATCTAATAACAACCTAGGCCTTGCAGGACACTACAATACAATCTAAGCCATCAAACATCCATTTGATAGTTGCCTGATCATGACAGGATGCAAGAGAGTTTTGTGATAGGAAGCTTATAGTTTATAGTGTAAGGTAGCGCGAGATATTGGCCAGTTAAAGTGTGTTGTTATATAAAATAACGAAAGTGTTCATTGCACGTTCTGGTTGTGACAAGCGTACCAAATCGGTGCGCTGCGCCAAAACCACGAATTATCACTGATTGACTGAACATGCATATTCCTGACGACGCTTTTGCGCATTGCAAGCTCTCAGTGGTATCTTTCGACGGCTCATGTGTTTGTGTCATGATAAGCAGTTATTTCATTACATTGGTCAACCTCATTCAAATGGATGCTTGGTTGGGCAGTGCTTCTATGGAGAAGCAATACTTTTTTGCAGACTAGTTGGTTCATACTTGAAAAATTGAATTGCTGCACAAACTTGAAGAAAAAACAAGAGAGACAGGAAAGAGTGCAGACTACCAACTGTTTATTGTCGTTTTTTGAAGCCAATATATACATGCTACGCTGCGCTTCCACAATGCGCACAAAACCAAAGACGCTGCAAACAAAGCCGACCAAATCAAATCAAAATTGACTGCCACCACCATGACAAACGTAAAAAATGGCAAAATACAAAAGTTATACCCACCACGATCTAAACTGCTTACTCCCAAGGTGTGCGCTCATCTTTTATCTTTTACTATTCATTGCACCAAGCATCAACTACAGCATGAAAAAAATGAAAACATGTTCAAGAGATTTTCGTTTTAAAACCCTAAAAATAGCGCTTAGCACCAAATAAAACAATAAATTTACATTTTCATATTCACTCCAAGCAGCCCCAAATGAGAAACCAGAAGGAGCAGTACGCCGAGAGAGTCAAAAACTATACTAACATAAAATCTAACAAAACATTCCGTAGCGTCACATGGGAAAGAAAACAAGAACACTAATAAATAACACAAAGAAAGATGAATGGAAGAGAACACAATGCAAGGCGTTGGCCACAACATTACACATGACCTTGCAGAAAGACCATTTCCCTGTCCGAAAGTGAAATGGAAGGCATGCTTATGCACTTGTCATCATATTGCCTGATAAAGTACGCTTCAATTATCTCTCTTTCGGTCTTTTCACGCGCTTTAGCCATGACTGACGCACTCTCGAAACGGGGGGAGCAACCGCATGTCCTACAGTGGAAATCTAAATGACCGCCATTTTTTCCTTTTACGGCCAGACTATGCTCACGCAAGCGTTCGTTGAGGCAACGCCCCGTCTGCCCTATGTACACCCTCCCACACGACAAAGGAATCAGATACACAACCGCAAATACACACCTAATGAACACGTTCGCATGCTTTTTTGTGCATTTTGCCTTCTTCCGTTTAGTCATTACCGAGCATATCTGACGTAACTTTGTAGGCGCAGAAAACAGTACATCAACACCGTACCTATTAGCCACCTTTTTTACATTATGGGAAACACCATGTAAGTAAGGCATAACATGAATAGGCCTCTTCTCCCTTCCTTCGACTGTTGTTTTTTCAAGTATGAACCAACTAGTCTGCAAAAAAGTATTGCTTCAACATATTTCTAGTTCTGCGGACTCTTTCCTATGTTACCTGAAGAAGCCACAAGCTGCTAAGGCTTGCGTGAACCTTGTCGCACAGTCCATCTGCATGTCTCGATATCTGTCCTACTGCTTAAAGAAGAAATACGTTCCTATTGAAGTGAGAGTACTTTTCGGCGCTCTGGAGCCATCCTGGGGCCACGCCAAGAGAGTTTGTAAACTGATGAAGTCTGAATCGTGGAGACAAGTGCGATTCTATTTTGACTGGCTAAAGGTAGTACTCCAAGAGGAGTGTGGTTGTGATACAGGCCAGCAACAGTTTGCAAAGCACAAAAGGAAGGCGAATCAGTTGGCGGAGTTCTTGTGGCAGAACGTCAGGTCAACATTTCCTTCAAAACCACGACTGGCTGCAACAGGCAGTAGTGTCACTTACCTGGGTGACGTAAGGATCCCTGCAACTGTGGAGCAAGTCCTCAAAAAGGGTCCCAAATACAGTTTCCAACCCCGTTCAACGCGTCCTGAAATGTTGTCCCACGTGCATCGATTTGGCCAACGTGTACAAGAGCAGGACCAGCAGAGGGCCATCGGGGATGGAATAGACTGCCTGGTGAAAACCGTGAGTGATCAGCGGGTTCCTAGGCCTCCTCTAAAATTTGTCGTCAAGGCACTCAAAGAAAGGAACTTGATGGTTCTAACCTCAGACAAAGAGGGAGGATTCGTGGTTCTTCCTGAACGCATGTACGAGGACAAGGCACTAGATGCAGTGTGCAAAAACTTCAAGGAGGTGCATTTCTGTCCAAAGAAACGGAAAACCATGATACAAAAAATGTTGAAAGAAATGAACCTTGATGCGCTCTGCAGAGAAGTGGTAAAAACAAGCAATGTGACGCTACAGTCATTTTTCACTTGCAAGACGCACAAGTGTGACTACCCGCTTCGCCTCATTGTGTCCGAGAAGGGCAGCTGGCAAAGGGTAGTGTCACGGTACCTACAAAGCGTTCTTGGCTCTCTTAACAGCGGTGACCCTTTCCTAGTGCGAAGTTCTTTGGAAATCGTTTCTACTTTGAAGGAAAGCTTACCAGTGGCGTCCACGGCTTTTTCAATTGATGTGGAAGAGCTTTTTTACTCAATTCCACATGGCGCGCTTTTTGATGCTGTCAGGAGTGCAATCGAAGAATTCGGTGAAATTAGTTTCCAAAACAAGCATGGTATCTTCGTGAATAACTTTTTGGAACTTTTGAAATTCTACCTAGAGTCTACTGCAATCAGCCACCAGGAGGGCACCTACGTCCAAAAAGCTGGAGTTTGTATTGGATCTGCAGTCGCACCTGTTCTTAGTGACATTTTTTTGGCAGCCTTCGACCAACGCCTGAAGGATGGTCTGTCCCATTTGGATGTCGTTCGCACCTTCAGGTATGTGGACGACTACCTTATCGTGCTTGGGAAGGTCCCATGTGAACGGGTACAAGGTGTTGTGAAAGGTGTCCTTGAGGTTTTCAACAGACACTCCAGTGGCCTGAAGTTCACGCACGAAATGCCGGTTGATAATGAGATCCAGTTTCTGGACCTACGGCTGAAGTTTGCCAAGGAGCACATCTGCTTCAAGTACAATCCGCGATCGAAGAAAGGCTTGTTGCCTTTTGATAGTGCGCACTCGAAGTTGATTAAGAGGGGCATTGTGTTGTCAGCTTGTGCGGAAGCCCTCGACAAGTCTTGCCCTCATCTGATCTCTGAAAGCTTCGAGGATCAGGTAGCTCGTCTGGGTGCGGCTGGGTACCCAGCACAGTTTTTAGCTAGCGCTTGTGAAAGCCTTCTTAAGAAATACAAGGGCGGGGGTCCAACAGTCGAAGGAAGGGAGAAGAGGCCTATTCATGTTATGCCTTACTTACATGGTGTTTCCCATAATGTAAAAAAGGTGGCTAATAGGTACGGTGTTGATGTACTGTTTTCTGCGCCTACAAAGTTACGTCAGATATGCTCGGTAATGACTAAACAGAAGAAGGCAAAATGCACAAAAAAGCATGCGAACGTGTTCATTAGGTGTGTATTTGCGGTTGTGTATCTGATTCCTTTGTCGTGTGGGAGGGTGTACATAGGGCAGACGGGGCGTTGCCTCAACGAACGCTTGCGTGAGCATAGTCTGGCCGTAAAAGGAAAAAATGGCGGTCATTTAGATTTCCACTGTAGGACATGCGGTTGCTCCCCCCGTTTCGAGAGTGCGTCAGTCATGGCTAAAGCGCGTGAAAAGACCGAAAGAGAGATAATTGAAGCGTACTTTATCAGGCAATATGATGACAAGTGCATAAGCATGCCTTCCATTTCACTTTCGGACAGGGAAATGGTCTTTCTGCAAGGTCATGTGTAATGTTGTGGCCAACGCCTTGCATTGTGTTCTCTTCCATTCATCTTTCTTTGTGTTATTTATTAGTGTTCTTGTTTTCTTTCCCATGTGACGCTACGGAATGTTTTGTTAGATTTTATGTTAGTATAGTTTTTGACTCTCTCGGCGTACTGCTCCTTCTGGTTTCTCATTTGGGGCTGCTTGGAGTGAATATGAAAATGTAAATTTATTGTTTTATTTGGTGCTAAGCGCTATTTTTAGGGTTTTAAAACGAAAATCTCTTGAACATGTTTTCATTTTTTTCATGCTGTAGTTGATGCTTGGTGCAATGAATAGTAAAAGATAAAAGATGAGCGCACACCTTGGGAGTAAGCAGTTTAGATCGTGGTGGGTATAACTTTTGTATTTTGCCATTTTTTACGTTTGTCATGGTGGTGGCAGTCAATTTTGATTTGATTTGGTCGGCTTTGTTTGCAGCGTCTTTGGTTTTGTGCGCATTGTGGAAGCGCAGCGTAGCATGTATATATTGGCTTCAAAAAACGACAATAAACAGTTGGTAGTCTGCACTCTTTCCTGTCTCTCTTGTTTTTTCTTCAAGTTTGTGCAGCAATTCAATTTTTCAAGCTTCTATGGAGGTGACCTTAACGTTAACGGAATGATTACCTTTGACTGTGGGGCTGTTTACGTTATGGCACCTTATTGCAGCTTACTTGTGCGACGTAATGTACTTAAACACTAACACTTCTTTTATTTCCTGCCTAACCTTTCATGTTAGTTATTCGTATCTTCCAATCATGCGCAGGTCAACTGCATGACAGAGTACGAGCGCCATGCGTGCCTCATGATGGATGAGATGCAGATCACCCCAAGCCTCATATATGATCCTTCGGCTGACGCAGTACTGGGCAGACCTACGATTCCCTTGGCAGATGGCAGCCTCCCTGCAGACACCTTGGCTACCCATGGCCTCGTATTTATGCTGGGTGGTGTTACTACCAGGTGGAAGCAGGTCATTGGGTACCATTTGACTGGAAATTGTTTTCATGCACTCTCTGTCAAGCAAGAACTCTTGAAAATGATAAGAGCATGTGAAGACATTGGCCTTAAAATAGATGCTGTTGTTTCAGATATGAGTGGTGGTAATCAGGCTCTATGGAGGTTATTTCTTGTCAGAGTCGGCAAGCACAGTCGGCCAAATTGCAGTGCAACACACCCCTGCGATTCGAATCGGAAGCTATGGTTTATAGCAGATGCCCCCCACCTGTTGAAAAATCTGCGCAATCACCTCACCAGGGGCCAAACTTTGTATCTTCCTGATGACATTGTTGTAAAAGCTGGTTTCTCCACAAATGCGGTTCTCATTGAACCAATAAAAAACTCATTGAAATTGAGAGTAAAGGAGACTTCAAATTGGCTCCGCACCTAAAACAAACTTGTGTTGACCCTGGTCATTAGAAAAAAATGAAGGTGGGCCCTGCTTACAGTCTTTTCAATGTGGATACTGGGGCTGCACTGCGCATCCTTGTTGAGAAGAGCATGCTAGAGAAGTCCGCGCTTGCCACTGCTTGGTTTATTGAAACTGTGGCCAAGTGGTTCCGCATCATGACATCAAGAACAACCAAACTTGCCTTGAGTAAAGTTATTGAGACAGAGAGGCAGGCAAGTATTCACTTTCTCAAGAATTTTGTTGTACTTTTTGAAGGGCTCTCTATCGGCACCGTCAAAAATGCCACATGGAAGCCTGTGCAGACAGGGGCTATTCTCTGTACGCTCGGTGCACTTGAGCGGCAGGAGCATTTCCTATCATTTTGCAAATTCTGCTTTCTGTTCCTTAGCAGGTTTTTTCAAGATGCGCTGGAAAATTTCTTCTCTACTCTTAGAGCTAAGTATCCGATTCCCAGGTTATATAAATTTAAGTGCGCGTTGTGTTCCGCAACGCTAGCACAGTTTCTACACGCTAGTGCTGATGGCAGCTACACTAAGGACGGTGGCTTTTTACTTGCTGGTTTGAGCTCTGACAATGAAGACAGCACCACACAAAGAGATTTCATTCCTGCTGACATTCATGACATGAATATGTTGGAGCACGAGTCCTTTTTGTACTTCGCAGGGTGTGTTGTTCACAGTGCTAAGAAGTTAGTAAAAGACTGTGATGCTTGTGTAAGTGCCATGACAGGGAACAAAGACGTTCCGCGACTCACACAGCTGAAATCGTACAAAGAAAAGTTAGCGTTGTGTGTAGCTTCTGAAGCAGTTGTAGAAGTTCTAAAGGTAGTGGAGCCTCACTTTCAAAAAAATAAAGAGCAGCATATTCATAATCGTGTTCCTGTATCAGCCACCAAAATTGTTGTTAAAAGTGCGATATCGTGTAATACCTTGTTTCCACACTGTCATAATGTATTGGAGGCTATTATTTCCGTGTTCTTCTCCGCAAGGATGCACATAGAAGTAAGAAAAGAGACATTGGTTCTAAGCGTGCAAATCGACAATAAATGTGGAAGTAAAGTGTAGAAATGAGAGCTGCAGTGGCCAACCTTCCTTAAAAAATAGCAGTGTAGAAAGCGCCCTTGCAGCCAATGTTGCGTGCGTGCCAGGAGAGCTCCTTGGAGAACGCATTTTTATTCTATCTAGCTGCCTGCGCACCTTCAATAGCCTTGTCAAATTCTTCCCATCTTGCACGTCGTGCGTGCTTGAGAAACTGAAGTAATAAGAGCCATACTGTCCGAGTTCCTTAATGCTGCCATTGTCAACTTGTTGACAACATCCTGACTAGATTTACATTCCTTAAAAAATTTGTGCTGCCTAGGTTCACCGCACTAACCCACGTGTTTCATGCCATTCAAGTAAGCGCAAGTATAAGGACCAAAGCACAACCTGTTTTGGTATGTGATTGCTGTATTTTTCATCGTTTTAGAACATGCTTCCGCCACGGGACAACTCTTAAGGTATCCTTCTGTAGTTTACAATGTAACATGACATCAAGTAACATAGATGAGCGCGATAGAAATAACCTGTACCTTTCTATCTTCTGCCATGGATGCAGTCATGTACAATGCGAAAATTTTTCGTGCAATGTTTTCATGTACTCATTGCATCCTTTTCAAAACACACATATACACACAATGCCCAATTTACCTTCCTATAAGCTCGCACGACAAATGAACGAGAGGCACCTTAGGAACGTCTCTTTACACAAGGTAATGTCTCATTTCATTTGCACCATGAAGGCATTACCATCACTTGTGCAAATCGTGAGTGAAAAGTGTCCATTGAATACTTGTTCAAACAGTCTAGTTACTCCTCCAAGCAATGATGAATATGCCTGTCTCTTATCTGTTATGTAACGTACGACCAAGGTTTTGCGGTAATGTGTGGAAATATAAACTGTACTGCTACGTTTGTGCCACAGGGCACTTGTATAGCTAGTGGAAACGGTAGCTAACTGTTACAATGCAACTTCCCGTTACTTTGGAAATATCAGTTTTTTTCCAAACGTTACTTCACCATACTGTCCTCTAGGCATACGCACAACGTGGCAACAACTTATCTGCAGTTTACATACACCGTTGAAATGTTCCTGCCATGCAGACATTCGTGTATAAGTTTGTGTAAATTGTTACTCCAGTGTTTTACTAGACATCTCAAATCACACAGGTCGTTTTCGCAAGCATTATTGAATGCGCCTTTCACTAGTACGTCATGTGACATCACAAACTGTAGTGTAACACGTCTGTGGATGTAGTGTGCATTGTTTAACTTTCATGATCCCATGCTGACATTTTTATGGAAGTCTTCGGAAATGGTTAGTGCAATGCTCTACTGTGTCATCACCTGTATATTTGAAAAAACATATTATTGATCTGAAAGTTACTTAGTGAATCTTGCTGTTATACACCTCATGTATATGACAACAAGCTGCAGTGGAAATCGGTTTGCATGTTCACCTTTGTTCATGCCATTAAGGCATTCGCGTCTGTGCAAATTGTCAGTACAGTGTGTTGCTAGGCCATTCATTGTATGTTTCAAAGCACGCATGTTCATGTTGAAAAAATGTAACGGTGAATCTTCCTCTGGTACCTGTTGTTCAGGCAATGGTCAAGCAATGTTCTGCATTGAATGTCACATGCTGCAATTTTCTTCATAGTTTTATTGTTTACTGACAAATGAAATGTCTTGGTGTGGTTTGCGTGCCTTTGCAACAGCCCAGGACATGCTTGTTTATTCATAGGTGCCTGCTATGAAAATGTTGCCAGAGAATGTAACGAAGTAACAAGAATAAACATTTGTAGTCAACATTGTGCCTCATTGTTTCTTTAACATTCCAGTGTCCTGATTTACATAGGATGTTGAAATAGTGCCGTTGTACGTAGCTCAGTGCATCTATTGATGCATCAGCGCCATATTTTTGTCCTTTGCAGAACGAACGCCCCGTCCAGCGTTCTTGTGTTGACGCTGCTTGCGTCCCCTCAATTGAGCGTGCAATTCCACGTTTAATAGTTTCATAACCGCTCATTCTATATTTGTGTATATGTATCAGTTATCATCCCTACCAGTTACATGTGTCACCTAAGGTTCCTATTTAAGCAACTTTGTTTTATCTGGGCACCTTAGCCGTACCCATCTGCAGTATTTTTTCACAATTTCCACCAGACTAGCAGCATTCGACACTTCGTCTCTCATCTCTAGCTGTCTGTTAACGTTACAGTAACATTTTTTACTTTATTGTTCTTCAGGGGTTGCTCAACTACTTGTCAAGCTTTTGGTTTGCTTTGAAATTAGCCCCACATGTTACCACAGCTACATTGTACTTTGAATATCACGGGAAACAGCTGAAAACTGCACAGCTGCTTAAAGTATTAACCAAAAAAGTGGACATATACCTTTGTGGAAAAAGGTTTAGCTATGGGGCTGTCTCTAAGATTATATTCACTAAATGGTAACAAGTGCTCAAGAAATTACACTGGAATTCTAAATATTATTGTTCCACTGCGGGCAGGGCAGCAAGATCTAAGGTCCCTAGTTAAAACAAGGAACCTTGGCAAGATCCTTCCATCGCTTTCTGAGGGGTGGCATAGGGTGGGGGTGCATGCTGGAGGTGAGGTGAGGGCGAAGTGCTGGTCGGTGCTTCTGACTGAAATTACAGCCCGTACTGGCTCGGGTGCACTCTGTAAAGTATTCGGGTGTGCGGGAATGTAGCCACTCCAGCCACTCTGTCGAACGAGTTAACAATGACGGTTACAAACGGCACAATCCCGTGCACAACAGAGAAGCGCTAGTGGTGCGCCAGCATTTGGTTAACATGCGGGAAGACCAGTGCTACAGCGAGTTTGCTGGAAAAGCCGCGCTCACTATCACGCTTTTCAAATGTCCATCGTTCAGTATTCCAGCACATTTCTGCTACTTGCCGCTGATGGTGGGGCGACGACATCGTCGCAAAGTTCATCACTTCGGGACAGTGAATGCGGCGATGAGTCAAAAAGGGTACAACGTGCGTGTCTGTTGTCACTCACAAACGTCTCTGTACGCGCACGCTGTAGTGCCGGGACACCCCACTCGTAGAGCCCTAACTTGTCGTTAAGTTGCGTGCACCCGCATTGCGGTGCCGCAGTCTCTTTCATAGTCACCCAGATAATATAACATGCCCCACGATTACCTGGCATTCTGCGGCGAAAGTGGACGTATTTTTTCAGAAAAAGCTGTAATCACAGTGCTGCTAGTCAAGCGTTCGTTCCAGACTGGCCGCGGTTTTTCCCTGTGTGCTCACAAGCGGCTATGATCACTCGTCACAACGTCACAACAAAGTGCTGCCCTGTGGTAAGTCAGGGACACAGGATCCAGCAAAAAGAACGTTAACTGTGCCACATATCACATGCACGAGCAAAACACATTCGGAGAACTGGACGAACTACGACGTACGATGCGAGACGCCATAGCTAATGGTGTGAAATATAGAACTTGCACAACGTTGCCAGTTGGGTAACACACATCATGCTTCTTCTTATGTTGTACCGCTTATTTTCAACTAAGTAACCTTTTATCCTAGGTCTCATTTACTTCTCATTTGGTATAATTGTTTTCATCCGCCGTACTAACTGAACGCAAACGTTCGCTGTTTTATGCACGCTTTGACCCTTCTTGGGGGCGCTTCAGGTAAATAAGCGAAGAGGAAAAGGGAGGGTGTCGCTACCTTTGTTTCATCTAGGGACCTTACACGGTGTAAGATTAAAAAAAAAACGCTTTTCTAACGCTGGTTTCTCACCTTCGTTCTCACGTGCGAACGCCGTTAAGGACGCTACGCAATGCATTCCTATTTCGTCATGATTCCTTTGGGAAAGATGGGAGCATTTTCGGTATATTGGTGCATTAAAAAACGTCGATATTTCATTCTCCTGTTGTCATTCTCTCTAAGGTGATGTTGCGCTTTGTGGTTCACTTCAATCTACACAAATCTGAATCAAGATAGCTATATCGATAGGCTTTCAAAGATAGGCTTCCTCCAAAAGAACAAAATAAGAAAACATGAAGTAAATTTAAAACTTTACCTTGTTTGCCACATGCTATTTTACACTCAACTACCAAAGAAGTGGTACTCTTGTTACTCACATTTTTGTTCAATAGAGTCTCTTGCAATGCCCCCATTCAGAACTGCGGCGTTAACAACAGACCAAGCTTTCGGGACGACGCTATTTCTGTCGGTGTAATAATTGAAGAATGCATCTGCCATTAGGTTGACTGCATTGCATTCCTTGTAGCGACACTGCTTGTCGTTGGCTTCTAGAAGAACTTTCGTTGAGCCGACAACTTCTTCCACAGCGTTGTCTACAATTTCTTTGTATGGCTTGAGGCTCTCCAGCGTGTCATTATCTGTAAAAAATGATGAACAGTGAAAAAGAAATGCACTGGTGAAAGCATTTTTGTGGATTGTAGCCATAACATTTCTGCGTCCAAATTCGGCAGTATATGCTCGTCATGAAAATGAACGCTTAATATTATGTGAAGAAGCTGTATGAATAAGAAGGAATATACAAAGTTAACAAATAACATCCTCTCAAATCTATCATTGATGTTGTTGGGCGGTGCGAAAGAGTGGGCATTGACAGCACTCATTTGCTGTCATCGCGTCGGCTTTTCCAGGATGGGGAATATCTTCTCTCTTTTCTGGCATTATAGCATTTTTGAAACCTTTCACAATAGAACCATGAATGAACCGAACTAATCTTATAGCCCAGCTTAGATATCACAAAAGCGTCCGTTTCAGTAGATATTGATTGGACATGTTTTCAACTTTTACTACTTACACTCACTTTGCTGGCCATAAATTAGGCAATGCAGTTCGACACTCTGCTATTCTTGCAGGAAATGCGTTACCTGTGCTTCTTTGTTTTATTGTGCGTCTGTTAGCACTAGACCTAAGTGTCTGTGTGGATGATGTCTGCGTGTATTGGTATGCATGTTTATTTTTTTAGTTGTGTATTTACTGCTGTTTACACGTCGTGAACACTCCGACTGCTTTGGACAAAGGCGCCAGTTACAATGCGCCTGTCGCTTAAGCCAACCAAGCATAAGATACGTCGGCAAAGGTCACGCGCTTTCATGTTATTGATGTTGTAGGACGAATACTACCTTGGCGAGTGGTTACACCACCATATACGGCTATCTCATGTCTCTCATGAGGAAGCTCACTATCCAGCTTAAGTTCCGAGACGTGGCACCGTAGGTTGAAACGGTTACACATAAGAGGGTAGCAAGTTAGAAAATGGATGAGACGGTCAGTGCGGTCATGACCGTGTTCGACAGACACTTTGCCTTGGCACCACTTTGAACTTGTTGCATGACTCAGCATGACGACCTTTAGTGATGGTGGCGGCTACATGATCGTACGTAGTGTTTAGTTAGTAAAATTTGGGTATACTATTTTATGAGGAAGTCATAAATTTAACTAGGTTAAAAACTTTGATGGGTCAATTTCACCGAGATGAAAAAATGTACACTTCATAATACATGACGTAACGCGCAGAATTGTTGGCGAGAAAATTTCTTCGAATTTGAATATCGAATCTATTACAACCAAATTAATGACTAAGTTCTCAAAGCACTCTTTGCCCCTACGCACCAATTGATTGAATTGCCCTTCAATGTTCCTTTATTTGATGCGTAGGACGCCAATAACTAACTTTATGCTAGTGTTACTACTGATTGCTAGAGCAATGTTGTTGCTTTTATAAGAGATAAAAAAAAGCTGAACACTTTCACGAGTGAAGAGACTATCAACGTCTGGCATCCAGGCTCACGTTTATCATCCAGAAGTGAGCCTTGATTAAACTTTAAGTCGCGTATTCTAGGCTCAAGTTCACGCAGTAAGGATGTTTCATTTTTTCTGACTTGACTTTTCCTTTCGCCATCACAGCTATGTCGCTATATATCACTGCAAAGCTCCTGGTTCCAGTATTTAGATATAGTGTAGCCAATTATAGTGGTCATCATCATATTCATCAGACACGTAATAATTAGGACGTGCTCAGGTTCATGCCCATGTACTTTTTTTCCTCATGTGGTGCGCTCTGTGGTTAGAAGAGAATTAAGACCAATTACTCTGCCGTTGTCCTAAACGGTTTCCTTGTTTTCGTTCGGCACAACAAGCAAGGCTACAGAGGACGTAAGCTCGGTCCTTACAACGTGGTGACCCGGACGTGAATACTGCAAGGCGAGCATTGCGTCAAGAATGAGACCGCGAATGACAGACCGAGGATTGGGACAGGGGGCCGGGGCAGATTCACCTGCCGTCGTTTAAGCCACAGAACTCTGCAGCCTAGTTTATGCACGTGGAAGCCACATTCCCTCTTCGGTGCCTCACGTCGCAGCAAGCAATCACCACTCTGTTTCTGCACTCTCAACAGAAGCGGTTGCATAGTTTCATTACCTTGAGGGCACGCTACATGAAACCGACCCCAATGAACACTTCATTACAACGGTGCTGCAACGCAAGTTTGTGCCTCTTAGCAGGCGTCTTCAGCAGCTTCTCAACGGGGAGGAGCTTGATGACCGGCGACCGTCGGAACTGCTGCGTCGCATGCAGCGGCTCCTCAGTGTCTGTCGGTTGGACGCAACCAGCCCGTTGCTGCGAGAGCTGTTCCTTCGGCGCCTGCTGCAGAAGGTGGTATTTGCCTTGTCTGCCACACCAGACGACTTGCCCCTCAACAAACTGGCGGAGCTAGCTGATGGCGTCACTTACTATTGAGCAATATGCACTGTAGCAACGACATCTATCATTCCGCTGTCACAACTCGAAGAACGGCACTCTCGCCCCCAGCAAGTAATCGATGACCTTGCTGAGGCGCTTAATGCACTACGACCACCGTCCCACTTCCATTGACGAGACCCTGATTGCCGTCGCAGATCGTCCCCGAGATCTCACTTCCGTTAAGGTCCTCGTGGAGCCGTATACAGCTGGTACCACAGCAGCTTCGGTGCTACCGCACATCAATGCCGACCTCCTTGCAGCTTGCAAAGAAGCATACAACGAAGCCACTGATGGCTGCCAGTGACTCTTTTCGCACGACAAGCCGCCTGTTCCACGCTTCTGACAGGTTGGCCGGATATAGATTTGTCGAGGACACCGGGCCACATGTCAGTGTCGTTCCTGCAGCGCAACTAAACCATCAACGCTCTCAGAAAACTGCGCCTTTTCAAGAAGCCAACAACTCATCAAAACCCGTTGGCATGATGCCTCAAAGTTTTTTAACCTAGGTCAGCGTTCTCTTACCATTGATTTCGGTCGCCGACCCACCTTTCTATGGGCATTTCCTGCTGCAGAAGTACGCATGGCCATATAAGTGCTGATTTTCTGACCTATTTCACCCTCAGTGTGGACCTCTGCGCACGTCGACTCGTGGAGAGTACGACACATTTGTTCATAAAAAAAATTCTCGCACCTCCAGCACCTATTACTGAAAAGTTGCCAGAGATAACAAGGTTTATGTTAGCCTCAAATGTGCCAGACTTTCCAGCCATCATGAAACCTTCAAACCTTGAGCTGCCAGTACGTCACATTGTCACACATAATGTAATAATCACTGGCCCTCTAATATTTTCTCGACCTAGACGCGTCGCTAGGGACTACCTTGTCATCGCCAAAAGAGAAATCGACCGCATGCAGTGACTGGGCATCATCCGTCCTTCATCCACCAGTTGGTCTTCTCTGTACATTGTGAAAAAGTGGGACCTAGGATTGGCGCCCGTGCAGCGACTACCATGCTGTGAACGCGCTCGCCGTCCCTCATCGCTATCCCTTCCTTCACATTAATGACTGCTATGCCTTGTTGCGAGAGAAATAATACTCAGACTTAGTAAAGGCGTATACCAACAAAATCCAGTTGAGCCAGCGCACATCCCCAAGACTAGAATAGAGACACCATTCGGACTTTTTGAGTATGTTCAGATGCCGTTCGCGTTGATAAACACTGTCCAAACGTTCCGAAGATTCATAAAATAACTGACCCGTGGATTACCCTTCGTATTCGCATATCTCGGCGACCTCCTGGTAGCTAGTGTTTTCCCTAAACAAAATTGCAACCATTTGCGACTGATATTTTCGTGGCTCCAGGAACACGGCCTTCTCGTCGATCCCGCCAAATGTGTAATTGGTGTCGAAGACATGGAGGTCGTCGGATATCGTGTGACTAGCCAGGGTATATACAGTTGCAGAAGAGAGTTAAACCCCTACGTGGTTTCTCTTACTCAACATCTATCCGAAAGCTCTGCGAGTTACTTGGGCTGCTGAACTTCCATGGCTGTCTTCTTCCCAATATTGCCCTCATAATCTTATTGCTCACCAACCTACTTAAGACCACCAAAGCTCTGTCCTCCCACCTACTTGGACATCCGACACCGAAGCGCCCTTCCAAGCTGCCAAAAACTCATTGGCAGACGCCACACTGCTGGTGCATTCTCTGCTTGTTGCACCAATGCGTATTATCACTGATGCATCTAGTGTGGCCGGCAGCGCTATATAACAGCCATTGCAACGCAACTTCTACTATCCACTTGGATTTTTTTTTTGCAGAACATAAAGCCAGCCGAAACGCGCTTAAGCACGTTTGGCCTTGAGCTGCTGGCGATATACCTAGGCATTCCACTTTTTCGGCACCTACTGAATGGTTGAAGCTTTCACATCCTCACGGACCACAGGCCCTTGGCATCCACTTTTCGTGGTACTCATGAGTCATGACACTTACAACGCACGAGAAACACGCCACCTCAACTGCATCTCCGAATTCACCGTGAACTTTCGATACATCCAAGGCCCAGTCAACGCGGCCACAGATGCCCTGTCCCACATCGATGCGATATCGGTGCCTATACTTGACTTCGAAGAAATCGCCGCAGTGCAAGTTACAAATGTCGAACTTCGGGACATCCACTGATCCACGACGTCACTGGCATTGACTGGCATTCCCATTTCTTTTTCTTCGGGCACCATAATTTGCTACGTGTCACAGGGTCGAACTCCACCATTTGTTCTTTTCCACCTTCTCCGTGACACATTCAACAAGGTCCACGTCGCCAGCCACCCCTCAGTTCATGCTACGCAGCGTCGCATTACGACCCCCGTTGTGGGGCCGATTGTTAACTCTGACTAGCTGCGCTCGACACGTGAACGTTTTCACTCTGAATGCTCTAAGACGACGCGATACACGAAATCACCAAGTCACTCATTTCGCCCGACCGATGCTCGCTTTGATCACGTTCTCATTGACATCGTTGGCTCACTGCCAGCGTCTCGGGGTTCTTACTTTATCCTCACTTTTGTGAACCGATGTATCCGCTGGCCGGAAGCTATTACTCTCGCCAACTTGATGGCATTT